GGCAAAAAGAACAGGCATTGAGCAGTGTTCTGGGGTAGACCAAAGGCTAATATAAAGGGAGTACTGCATTTTCTTCTAGTAAATTTGCTCCATATTAATTGAGGGCTATAGCCAGAACAGCTTTAAATGTAAACTTTCCAGTAGATTACTCTGCAATTGATGTTTAGTATGCCACTAGATATTTTTCAGAGCATCCTAAAAAAACAATGAAATTAAAAAACAGTATTCCATGTAGCTCTATAGGTAAAATACTCGATTCGCAGAATTCAAGTAAAATATTAAACCAACAATCAGTCCAAATGTCTCCTATTCTCTAGATTTATATCTTTCTAGATGTAAATCTGGGCTGACACTCGCATGTCCTGCAATCTGATGAGCCAAGGGAAGATCTAATATCCTCTACTGATAGGAACAGGACAACTGTCCACATCATCCAGTAATGCTGCTTCAGGGAAGAAATGGTTGCTCAAGTTTCTTGTTCCAGCTCCTAGTGGAGTTGGATAGCCAAAGGAAAAAGGGCTGTCTGGTAGGTGATTATCCTAGCTATTCTCACAGACGGAGTTACCAGGTCCATAAGGGAAAGGACAAGTGAGCTTGTGCAAAAGGAAATGTCCATGACTTTGGTGCTGTACAAATCATTATCCAGTAGCATCTTCAAAGGAAGTGTAGCAGGAAGTGCTCCTCTACAGAGGTTCTTCATTTTATGTTGTGGGAAATACAAAACAAAGGTTTACAGTAGTGATAAGTAGAAAAACCTCTGTCAGTACAGAAGCAAAGAAAAGCCTGGATGCCCAATTATCAGGGGGATAAAATGGAAAGTAGGAAGTAGTAAAGAAGAAAATGTTATTTTGTAGTTTAAAAAATGTGATTTTCAGAGGCAGGTGCAATATTCAGCTACGTGAGAAGTCAAGGAAAGAGAATTATTTCAGCTCATGAAATGAGGCTAGCCTGGGGAACATATTAAGATCTATTTCTTTAAGGGAAATAAGTAAGTGTGTGTGTGTGTGTGTGTGTGTGTGTGTGTGTAACATTTTCAAGCATTTCCATTTCAATACTACATTAGAAAAAACTTAGTTTTGGGGAGATTGTAGAGGCTGGAGTTCATGGGCTAGCCTCAGCGACACAGTGACTTTGAGACCTTCCTGAGCTGAATTACATCATATCTCAAAACTAACCAACCCATCAAACAAACAAACAGGCAAAACCCAAAACTAACACAGGCCTTTCAATAAGTGGTGAAGATTTACCACTACTTGGGACTAATTGTGAATTTAAACATAAACCATGAATTCTATATGGACCATAAAACCAAAGAGCAAACTGAGGATAGGGAACACAATTAGCTGTTCCATCCTGGCCTGAAGGTAACAAAAACAAAGGTAAAAATGGATGGCAATAAAATACTGTTATTCCTTCCTGGCCCAAACTAAAAGACATGCTGATAACAATAAATAAAGTTAGTATAAGACACAATCTGAGGTCTATACACATAAAAACTCTGTTAATAAAAAGTTAGACTAGTGTGGTAGTTTGAAAGTAATTGGCCCCCATAAGCACAAAGGGAATGGTACTATTTGTTGGAGGAAGTGTGTCACTGTGGGGGTAGGCTTTGAGGTTTCCTTCATTCAAGTTATATTCAATGTGGTAAACAGTTCACTTCATGTTGCCTGTAGATCAAGATGTAGAAATCTCAGCTCCTCCTCCAGCATCATGTCTGCCGGCCACCATGTCCCACCAATGTTCTACCATGTTCTAAGCTTCTGAAACTGCTAGCCCCAATTAAGTATTTTCCTTTATAAGAGTTGTCATGGTCATGGTGTCTCTTCAGAGCAAAGAAACCCTAACTAAGACAACCAGATTTATATATATATATATATATATATATATATATATATATATGGACTCATATACATATGTGTATGTCTGTGTGTATATGTGTGAGAGAGAAACGAAAAGATACACAGAGAAAGAGACAGACATAGAGAAAACCAAGGCCTTACTATGTGACCACTCAGCCTATCCTAGAACTTGCTATGTAGCTCAGACTGGCCTCAAACTTGTGTTGATCCCCCTGCCTCTACCACTCAAATAGAGTGACTGTGGGTGTGCTTCACTATGTCTCACTACAAACCAACAGTACTTAGGTAAATATTTTCTCTATGAGTTAGCCCTACAGGGTGGAATATTGGTTTCATGTCCAAGGTCTGGAAGAGGGCAATTGTGTACTTCTTCAATTAAAACTGCGAGGGACTGAAGTGGAATAATCCTTTACATTGTGTGAACGTATGTCGCTGTGATTGGTTTAATAAAGAAGGTGACTGGCCAATAGCTGAACAGAATAAGGTTAGGCAGGAGAGTCAGACTAGGAGAATGCTGTGAGGAAGAAGTGCAGAGTGAGGAGTTGCTAGGCAGACACTCAGGAAGCAGGATTTGTAGAAAATGAGCTAACAAGTCACAGACTACCCCAGTTGGGTATGGGGGTCCCTGGAATGAGGGTTCTTGAAGACCAGGTGGATAAAGATTCATAGGTGACAAACAGAAACAAACACAGAGGCCGTTTGAATCTGTGTGTATTCTGTAGTTCTCAAGCAAGGTTTTTTTATACAGATTTTTTTCCTCAGGGGATGTTTTTATTAAACAAACACAAACATGTGATATTATAGTTACTTGGCACAGTGACATAGAAATCCAAAACATGATACCACACAAAACTGTCCTTGGGTAATCAAGATATAGAACCATCCTTGGTTAACATAGAATCATCCAAGGCTAATCACATTAATATATTTTTATGGTCAGATACAGTTTAACATCCATTGTCTAGCTACCATAAATACCCTTCCTGGATAGTGAGATCAACAACTAACTTCTCCATAGAGCCCTCATCTAATACCTGTTGGAAACAGGAGCAAACACCCATACATAAACACTGAGTCCAACTAGAACCCAGATGCAGATGGAGAGGACAAGACCAAGCTGCAGAAACACATAGAGGCAGCTTATCTGAACAAGGAGGAGCTAACGGGCCCCCAGACTGATAGCTGGGAAGCCAGCATGGGACTGACTCAGGCCCCCCCTGAATATGGGTCTCAGCCAGAAGGATTGAACAGTCTAAGGGAACTCAGACAGTGGAGCCAGGATGTATCCCTGGTGCACAAAAGGACCTTGCGAACACATTCCCCATGGAGGGATAACTGCCTTAACCTAGAGACAAGAGAGAAGCCCTAGTCCCTACTTCACATGACCTTTCAGATCTACATGACCCCAACTGGATGGCATTCCCCTACATATGGAATTGGGGTGGGAGGATGGGAGGGGAGGGTGGTTAGGGTGCACGTAGGAGAGTAGAGAGGGTAAAAGGGAGGGAGGGAGAGGAAACTGGGGTCAACATGTAAAATAATAAATTAAATTAAAAAACATCCATTGTCTAGTTCTTAGGTTTTTTCTTTAAATATTGAACTAGTTTAACTATTTCAGCTCTTTTTTATTGAAAGCTTTCGTTACCAGACACTTAAGTCCAGTCTTGATGGCACATGTACAGCCATATGAAATTTTATCGTTGGGAAAATTTTTACTATTTGTACTTAGTGAACGATGTGAATGATTTGGAAAGTGCTATTTTTCTGAGACGAGGTCATGGCTAGTGACCCCACCTTGGGGGATGGTTTCTTATCCATATCTCTTGCTTGAAATGTCAAAGTAGGCTTTCAGGAACATTTCATTAATGTGACAAAAAAAAAAAAAAAAAAAAAAAAAAAGAATAGAAGAACAAACAGAAATTGCCACAAGAATCACAGCCCAATATTTACCTCTGGCTGAGAGTTTTTACAACATTTCCAGGAGACCTCCTTTTGAAGTTATCACCTCAGTCTGTGGAACTTGTCACATAGAATCTACTGGATTCGGTGTGATAGTAGAGGATAGATAAGAAATATAGATTAATTTAAATGTTAACAGTTATTTAGAAATAAATGTGAGTTATCATCTGAGCATTTATAATTAATATTAAGACTCTGAGTGATCAATTGGGAACTGGAAGCTGTGGGAAAGAACTGTCCACCTACAAGGGACAGAGATCCTAAGTGCACCCTTCCTCTTTTTCCTTTGTTTCTGCCTTGTCTTCCCAAGATATTTTACATTTTACTTTATTAGAAAGTGTAACTTTCCAGGCAGCAAGATGACTCAGCAGGTTAAATATTCTTGCTTTCAAGCCTGGTACTCTGAGTATGGTCTCTGGAACACGCATGATGGTAGGAGAAAATGGACTCCGGTGGTTTTGTCCTCCGACCACATATGTACCCAGGCACACCCATGCAAACATACACACAGACAGTAAATAAATGTAATTTTAAAAGTGTAACTTTCTATCTCTCCACATTCAGTCTCCTTTTAAGGACAGCCTTCCTCCGTCCAACTCCAATAAAATCTCCATATGTTCCATTCTGGAATGGGCTGGAGAGATGTGCTGTTTTGGAGCAGCATCTCATGTGTTACTTCTTTTAAAACCTCACACACATCCCCATGGCAGGCATAATTTTCATAGCATTAATGCTCAATTTATTTCAAACCACAAAACTTCAGTGTTATAATGGCTGAGATATGATCTAGTGGTCAGATCTAGTTTGAATTCTCTGTTTTGGTTTCCACTACTCACCAGATTTCAGCATTCCACTTAGCTGTTTCATCACTGTAACATCTGACCAGTGCTCCCACTAATGGCTTCTCCCTCCCCTCCCCTCCCCTCCCCTGCCCTCCCCTTCCTCTCCCTTGCCCTCCCCTCCTCTCCCCTGCCCTCCCCTCTCCCCTCCTCCCCTGTCTTTCCCTTCTGTCCTTTGCCCTCCCCTCCCCTTCCAGTGCTGCACATTTTGTACTAAAGTTCTTGGGAATTTCATTTAATCAGACTTCAGGACAGCTTTGAGTTGGTCTTTCCTTGGACTTCAAGTCTGCACCTCCTTTCCTCTCTCACAACAGTGAAGCACCACCACTGGGCCCACCACCAGCTTGCAGATGATTCAGGTGATAGCCACCCCCTCAAATGCCCTTGCGGATGAGCCTGTGTCCATCCGAGCGACAGGCCTGCCTCCATCACAGATAGTGACCATAATGGCCACACTGAAGGATGAGAAGGAGAATCTGTTCCAATCCAAAGCCTTTTACAAGGCCAACGAGGCCGGCGAGGTGGACCTGGAGTGGGCATCGGCCTTGGGGGGTGACTATGTAGGGGTCCATCCAATGGGCCTCTTTTGGTCTCTGAAGCCCAAGAAGATTTTCCAGAGGCTAATAAAGAAAGATGTGATGAACAGCCCCTTTCTTATCACTCTGGACCTGTATGACTCTGTTTGCTTGCAAGATTCAGTCACAGTTAAACCCAAGGCCAGCCAGATAGTGCAGCGCTGGTTTGCTGGCCCTGGGGTTCAGCGGAAGCAGATCCGAGAAGGTCGGGTACGTGGAGCCCTTTTTCTCCCTCCAGGTGAGAATAGTCTTTGTTGACTTAGAACGTATTTTTTTTCTACTTGTGACCTTTTTTTGCTGAAGGAATTTTAACACGATCCTGGGTATATAAATATATGAAGTAGGTGTGGAAAACAGTTACTGATAATAAAGCATAGAAAATGATTTAAAAACAGTTCTTTGGTGTGCACATGATTTTACCATCTATTAAAGAAGAAAGCAAATTTGCACACTGATTAGATGAATGGGCCTGCCTAGAATTAAACTTTGGTTGAATATTTGAGACTATAGGGCATGGATAGATTATCCTCATTGCTTTTCAGAACTGGCTGATATTTTGGTTTTCATGATTGTCAGTACTAAGAAATCTTCTTCACATGAATATGCAGTACCAAATGGTACCAGTATATTTAGGGTCATTTAAAAACTTGCTGAAAATTCTACCTGCATCCTAAGTCAAAGTCCACTTTATGAGTTTTTAATGAAACTCAAGTCAGTAAGTCAAAGAGCAATTTTAAAAATCAGACATTCTAACATTATACGTTAAGAAGATTTTAATTTGATACGTGCTGAAAAATGACAGGCGGGACACATAAAAAGTCCTTGTTTTCTGTAATTAAACCACTATGTATCATATGAATGGAAAACTGCATGTGAAGTAAAAACTCTGTGGGTCATAATACACAGCAAATAAACTTGAACCTGAGCTCTGTCGTTTGAGGCAGCATCTACTTGTGATTATTGCTACTCTGACACAAGCAGAGAGAAGGGTGCCTGCCATTCTTTCAGAATTGGGGTAAAGTGAAGTCTGGCAGGCATCAGCAGAAACACCTTGGGACCACTACTCTTTTTATTTTGAATTAAATTTTGGACGCTGTATATTCAAATGGTTTCTTGCTGTCAAATTTCTCCCACATTCACTTATATGAGCCCATATGGATTTGTGACCCACAATTTCAGAAGCTGTGATATAGGTAGAAAATTCAGATGAAATAAGTGTGTACTCTCATGTGGACGTGTGTGTGTGTGTGTGTGTGTGTGTGTGTGTGTGTGTGTGTGTGTGCATGCGTGTGCTCATGCATGTGAACATGTACAAGTATGTACCAGTGTGTACTTGTATGCAACATATTTGTTGTATTTGTTCTGTCTTTGTTTTCACCGTTGTACTGAACTCTCTTTTGATCCCAATTTCTTGTTTCTTTTTTCTTCCAGGAGAAGGTCCTTTCCCAGGAATTATTGATTTATTCGGGATTGTTGGAGGTCTAGTTGAATTTCGTGCCAGTCTTTTGGCTTCCCATGGCTTTGCAGTGCTGGCATTAGCGTATTTTGCCTATGAAGACCTGCCTGAAAAACTGCTGGAGATTGACTTGGAATATTTTGAGGAAGCTGCCAACTTCCTACTAGCTCATCCCAAGGTACTTAAAATACCTCTTGCTTCATCTCACAAAAATCATAGGAAACACAAAGCACACATGTCTGGCCCAATCAGTGCAGTCTTGGGCAGAACACAGCTTACATTGTAAGAGTGGCAGGACAGTTGAGTTGATTAGTAATTACTGTTTACTGGCACTCAGAAGACAATAAATGCATGGTGCACACACTGTGACTCTCTTCGGTGGGAAAAAGCCAAGATATGTTACATTTGAAGTTCTCTCAGTATATTCATAAGTGGCTCTTCAGTGTTCTATCAGCCACTGATCCTGAATTCTGAACTTGATACGTTTTCACACACCAGTGATGGTCTTTACATGATATAATGTTAGTGCAGGTCACACTAAAGGATCTGAGACTAAGACTAAAGCAGAAGTTCAGAAATGGAAATGACGTATAAGGGTACACATAATTACCAGAAAAAACAACTTAGTCCAAACATGTGACTTCCTGAATTAGTGCTTCAATTATTTCAATAGCTGGGGTTGGTGGATACAGCAACTAACTAATGCTGGAAGCCAGGCTCAGGGGAGAAATCCGAAAAGGAAGGGTCTTTTAAGCATCTGTGTAGCAATGAAATGAGTGGCCTCAGCATCACCCGAGATATGATAGAAAGGCAAAATTCTATACCATAATTCATAATCAGTATTTGGGTGTTTCTTATAGAAATGAAAATTTGAGAAGGACTGAAGAGTACACTTCATAACCTAGCTTCTCTTAGGAAGTAAATGTCAATTGAATTGTGACTTAGTTTTCTTACAGAGGTCCCAAAGTATTGATATTTGTGTTAGTGACTGAAGAGACACACAAATGGTAGATACCATATGGTATCTACAGAGCTGAGAGTTGAGATGCTAGTTAATTTAACTATATTATTTATGGTTTTGTTCACTCATAATCGATATGTGTGCTCAAGCTAACAAAGGTAAAATAATAAAGGCAAAGCCCTTGCATTTGCTCAGTGACTCTTATTTTATTTACACAACATTTTTTTCCCATTTATTTCACATATCAACTGTAGACAGAGTTTTGTTTCCTCCTGGTCCCTCAACCATTTAGTCCCACATAAACACACAGATGGTTATATTAATTATAAACTATTTGGCCGGTGGCTCAGGCTTCCTATTGGCTAGCTTTCTCTTGATTATTAACCCATTTCTATTAATCTAAGTATTGTCATGTGGTCTTGGCTTACTGGGGAATGCCCGAACCTGTTACTCCTTCAGTGGCTACATGGTATCTGCATGGTGGCTCCTGTTTGTCTCCCTCTTCTGAGCATTTCTAGTCTAGTAGCCCCACCTATATTCCCTGCCTGGCTACTGGCCAATCAGCATTTATTCACCAACTAATAGAGAAGGACATCCTCCACCATCTCTTCTTTTCTGTCTATCTAAATAGAAAGGTTTTAACACAGTAAGTTTATGTATATCAAACAAGTTATCAAGCAAGAACTATAGTTAACAATATTTAGACCATTAACATTGGGCAAAATTTAATGAAAAAATTCTATCATCTCTCCTATTTTTGTGAGTCTAAAGTTTTATATGTAACTATATTTTTAACAACTATCTGTCTTCAACTACACCAAAGAACTCAGAAGGATAATATATAAACTGTAGAATCAACAGACATCTTCATGCCTGGATAGTCCCCCAAAGTTCCTCTGTAATGTTGAGGCAGCCATCTTCAGTCTCTAGACCTAGACTGGGAAGACTTCTCAGGAAAGCAGGACATTTGAAACTGTCTCACCTATATTGGCAGTTTGTTAGTCATTTTTTTTTCTGTGTCCTGAAGAATGTCTGCAGACTCTTCCATGAAGCAGGAACCCTGAAGGACTGACCCATTGTGTTTTGGCAAGTTCAGCAGTCACGTTCCTGTGGATCCTGCAGGTCCAGTTTATACAGCATACAGTGAAATGGTCCAGACAAGAGCAGTTTCTTGTTCAAAAGGCCAGTTTTGCCACATTGAAGGCAAACTCCATAACAGGTTTCTTTAATGCCCATCTTCCTCTCTGACATAATCGGTGTTTCCAGGAGCAGTTATGTCTTATTGTCATGAAAATCCCTAACAAACCATTTTAAATGCCATAATCTGTAGGTGTTTGAAAGGTTTTGAAGAATACCTATTCTTTTGAAATATATCTATATATCTAGAAAACCTAACTAACATAACTATGTTTTTACTATTATGGGTTACTACCTATAATATGTATTTTAAAATTATACATTACATTTTAAAAGAGCTGTATAAACACAAAACCTAAACAGGAATAGAAATGTACATATAAAAAATTAATCTTAAATTTGTATCAATAAAACAAAATCCATGACAATGTAAAGTATTCATATCTATCATATTCCCTTTTGATTTTTGGAAAGAGATTGATTGTAATCATTAACTATTTTTAAAAACCCTGTTTAAATGAAAACAAACATTTAAATATTTATAAACAATATTTGGGAATGTGGGCATAGTTCTCTCAAAACTGCTCCCTGGTGTTTGTGGGTGCTGTCAATACCGTGGAGATCCTGAGAAAACCCAGAACCTGACCAAACCCTGGCTGTAGTAGTTGGAGGTTGCATCATCTCAGCTGTTTTGGATGTTGGATCACCTGGGCCACTGCTTCAGGACATCTTGCTTGATCAAACCATATTAGTCTTCAAGCAATCCACAGATTTTCATCTTTTGTGTAAACAAAAACAGAACTTATTTTCCAAAGTAACCTGCCTTTAGACTGAAGTTTTGAAGTCAAGGAATTTTCAAAACATATAGGTTGGATTAATCCAGCAACATTTACAACCAAATGTCTCTTAGCAGTTGTTGCTCCTTCCTCACAAATCAAACAATTCAAAGACAACATAATGACAAATGGTATCCAGACTCACTGTGTATTTTCCATCTTTACTTGGCTTTTTTTTTTTTTAAACTAACTATTTATTTATTTATTTATTTATTCAGTTTTTGAGACAGGGTTTCTCTGTGTATCATTTCTCTCCTGGAACTTGCTCTGTAAGGCAGGCTGGCCTTGAAATCACAGAGATTCACTTTTTCTGCTTCCCGAGTGCTAGGATTAAAGGCATGTGCCACCACACCCAGCTACTCTATTTCTTTTTTTTAATAACTTTATACATTTTTTTCTCTCCCAAGCCTACATACATTTTTAAACATACTGTAAACTTAGCTCTCTATTAATTATTAACCCATTTCTATTAATCTAAGTATTTTCACGTGGTCTTGGCTTACCAGAGAATGCCTGGGCCTTTATTCTTTCAGTGGCTACATGGCATCTTCCTAGCAGCTCCATAGAGTCCTCTGGCGACTCCTCCCTGTCTCACTCTTCCCAGCATTCCTAGTCTGGTAGCCCTGCCTATACTCCTTGCCTGTCTACTTGCCAATCAGCAATACCAAAGGATATCCCCCATCAACCTACCAGTTTCCCTTCCCTCCTCCCGTCATATCCCCTTCCCCTTTTCCACCCACTCTTCCATCTCCATTCAGAAAGGGACAGGCCTCCCTTGGGCTTGCACAAATCATGGCACATCAAGTTGTGGCAGGACTGAGCTCCTCCCCTTAGGTGGAGCCAGGTAATCCAGTTTGGGGAACAGGTTACAAAAAGCCAGCTAAGTGCCAGTGAGTGGTCCTGCTATCACTGTTAGAAGCCATACTAAGAGACTAAGCTACAGGATTATCAGACACAAGCAGAGGGCCTAGGTCAATCCCATTCAGGTTCTCTGACTATTGGTCCAGCATCTATGAGCTTCCAGGAGTTCAGTTCAGCTATCTTTGTGGGTTCCATCATCATGAACCCCCTGGCTGGTATAATCCATCTTCCCTTTCTTCCACAAAACTCTATGAGCTTAGCACAGTGCTTGTCTGTGGATCTCTGCTTGTTTCCATCAGTTACTGGATAGAGAATCTCTGATGGCAATTAGGAAAGTCACCAGTCAGTTTACAGTAGATGGCCAGTTCATGCACCCTCTCCACCATTGCTAGGAGTCTTAGTTAGGGTCATCCTTGTGGGTTCCTAGGGTTTTGGCACTAGGGTTCTCCCCCAAATGCCCTCCACACCAAGACATCTCTTTTGTTACTCTTCCTTTCATCTTCCTCCAACCTGCCTCATTCACCCAACCCTCCCAACCTGCTCCCATCCAGCCATCCCGCAGCCCCTGACCCTAGTTTACCCAGGAGATCTTTTCTACTTCCCATTCCTAGGGAAATCCATGCATCCCTCTCTGGGCTTTCCTAGTTATCTAGTCTCTCTGAGGCTGTGAATTGTAGATTGGTTATCCTATACTTTACTCCTAATAAACCACCTGTGAGTAAGTACATGTCATATTTGTCTTTCTGCCTTTCTGGGTCTGGATTACCTTACGCAGAATGATTTTTTTCTAGTTGCATCCATTTGCTTGCAAATTTTATGGGGTCATTTTTTTTTAACTGAGTAGTACCCCAATGTGTGTATTACCACATTTTTCTTATCCATCCTTTGGTTGAGGGACATCTAGTCTGTTTTCAGGTTCTGGCTGCTATGAACATAGTTGCTCAAACATAGTTGCTCAGTGACTTTTAAGCACTACATTCATAGCAATATTTGATATGCACCATCCCATCTAACATTCACAGTAGCTTTATAGCATAAATATTTCTAACTCAAAAATCTAAATCTGAAACTTATAACAATGCTCAAAGTTATTTTGGACTACTGTGCAGATTTCAGATTTCCACAGTGTAGCCTATCTGCCCATAGAGTCTGTTCAAATATTTCAAAGTCTGAAAATTCCAGATCTGAAACACTGGCACTGAGCTTTTCACATGAAGGCTATTCCATCTGTGACAGCAGTCTTCCTTCCTTCTTTCCTTCCTTCCTTCCTTCCTTCCTTCCTTCCTTCCTTCCTTCCTTCCTTCCTTCTTCTCTCTCCCTCTCTTCCTTCCTTTCTTCTTTTCTTTCTCCCTTTCTTCCTTCTCCTCCTCCCCTTCCTCCTGCTTCATAAGAAAGCTTAATTAGATACATTATCAAAACTACATTGCCAGAAAGTGACACAGTCCAGCAGTGTCTTTGCTTCAACTATCAAGTGATTTTTGACTCCTTAGCTCTAGCATTCTGTTCTTAATAACTATGGACAGGGACGGCCTGACTTCTCAAGGAGAAGAGAGTGTTTTCTGTCCTGCTGCCTGTCCAGAATGCTCTATCTGTCCTCACTCAACCTGTCAAATTCCCTCTGCATAATCAATCCACCAGATTGAGAGAAAGCCTTCCTTTTGGGATCCTTAGCCTTGTTCTGTGGGACAGGGTATTTCAGGCATCTAGAGAAGAAGCCTTTTATCTGTCTATTCTCAATGCTTTCAGTGTTAACTCTTTGATTAATGCAGTCAATAATATATATGTGTAAACCCTTGTAGCTGTACACTAATATTTACATGAGAATTTTATTTATAGAATATTTGAAATAATGTAGCAAATATACTATGCCCATCTGTGTGTGCATTCATGTATAACATGCACATGTGGGGTGTGTGTGTGTGTGTGTGTGTGTGTGTGTGAGTGTGTGTGTGCTTGCATGTGCATGTGTGTGTGTATTGGAGGTCAGAAGTCAAATTTGATGCCCTTCCTTTTTCAACATCCTCCTTGTTTTTAAGGCAGGGCTTCTCAGTGACCTGTTACTGACCAAGTACATAAGGCTGGCTGGCAAGTGAACCCATAGGGTTTGCAGGTCTCTGCCTCCCTATTGTTTGATATACAACAGTGCACCATGACCCTTGCCTGCCTTTTAAACATGGTCCTGGTGGATAAACGTGGGTCCTGTACTCTACCACTGAGCTGTTTTCCCAGCTCCAAGCATCTTTTTTTAGTGAAGTCAAGAATGTGGTCTTTCAAAAAGATCAACTTCCTCAGTTATTGTCAGGGTCTCACTATGTAGCCTAGGCTGGATTAGAACTCAAAATCTCTTGCCTCAGTTTCCCTGATGTTGGGATTATAGAACTGTGCCACCACCTCTATCTCTAGAATGCTACTTTTGAGGAAGTTTTATTTTGATTGTTCCAAGATGGGTGATAAAGTTGTTCCCACAAGATGCTAAAGCTCAGAGATGGTATTAAATAGGCAGTAGTGTCTAGCTGGAAAATCTGGAGTGCTAGAGTTTGGCTGTTTTGACTGCCCGGCCTTCCTTTGGAGACTTCTTCCCAGAGGACAGCATTTAAACTGGTTTCCCTTTGCTTTGTGTTCAAGATCCAACAACCAGGAATTGGTGTGATCTCCACGAGCAAAGGTGCAGAGATCGGGCTGGCCATGGCCTGCTATCTGAAGCAGGTGGTTGCCACTGTCTGCATCAATGGGTCCAGCGCCATCTTAGACTTTCCTCTAAGGTATCGGGATTTGTTTGTGACAGCCATCCAACGGGCTCAGGAACATGTCCAAGTCCATGCCTCAGGGGCTGTACGCTTCCGTTCCTTTATAGATGACCTCTGGAATAAGCTGAACCCACACAGTATACTTCCTGTGGAAAAAGCCCAAGGGTGGATCCTCTTCATTGTAGGAGAGAATGATGAGTCCCTGGATAGTAAGGCATATGCACAAAGGGCCATGGATCAGCTCCACAGCCATGGGAGAAGCAGTGGAAGAATGCTGGCATACCCCGGGGCAGGCCACCTCATAGAGCCTCCCTATTCTCCCTGTTGCTTTGCATCCTGGAACTCTGGCTTGCCTAGCCCCTTGCTTTGGGGAGGAGATCCCATTGCTCACGCAGCAGCCCAGGAACACTCATGGAGAGAGATCCAGAAGTTCTTCAGGAAATACCTCCTTCAGTCCAGAAGCAAACTCTAAGCAAAGGGAGTGACCATGCCTAGGTAGCGGGCAGGAAGTGGGTTAGAGAAGAGGGTTGAATTGGTGTGAGGATAATAGCATTAATTAGGAATTGGAGGGTAGGGGTGGGGTTGGGGGGGACAGTATTATCCTTGAGTCCTTATATTCACATGTATTCTAATGAAATTGGAAGAAAATGAGACAAAAGATCAAGCCACTCACTCATCTGAGGTGTTTCTGACAAATTTGTATGTAGTTGGAAACTGTGTAAATTATATTTTAGTTTATATGTTGGAATACATCAGTATTCAGAAATTGTGAGATTCTTGCAAACTGATAAACACTGCTTATGTATATCCAGTAAGGATTCATTTGATCTAGGCATTTCCAATCCAAATGGATTCTCTAAAACTGCCAACTTCTTTCTAGGAGTACATTCTGTTTACAATGTTTCAAGTTGGATATCTGATGCTTGAATGAATGAACATTTCAGTTCACTATCAAGCATAATGCTTGCTGTAGATATCCAGTAGATAGCTTTTTTAAAAAGTGGGATGTTTCTCTTTATTCTAGGTATATGTCATTATTTTTTTTTTTAAATCGGGAATACAATTAAATTTAATCAAGGGCCTTTGTGACATTTATTGAATCTGAGTAAGTTAATGTAAACAAGACTTTTAGAGCAGTGTCTGGCATATAACTCTCACCTCATCAGAGTCAGCTGTGGTTTTCACAGTGGCATCCTGTATGGTGTCAGGATGCTTTCCTCCTCCCTTCTCATCTGGTGAGTTACATTCATTCGTCAGTCATTTCTTCCGTGTGTTCATTAGGTTTGAATAGATGAGACTCTTGCATTGACTAACAAGGATGCTCAAGTTTCTTTTGGAACCAATCTCATTATTTATATTTCTTCAGAATTTCACTTGTTATCTAGAACATGTTGTATTCATATTTTATTTTTACATAGATTCTGTTATTTATCTGTTTTTTTCATTTCTCTCAGTCTGACTTACATAAATATTTTCCAGTCTTATTTATATTGGCAAGTGGTGACTTTTGCTTCACTTACTGGTCAAATCTTTTAAAATTCATTCTTTAATTTTTTATGCTTTAAAGTAAATTAATTCATGCTCTTGTCTTCCTGTTGTTTTATTTATTTTTTGCTATTGGTTTCTTTTTTTGTTGCTTGTTTGCTTCTGATTCATAGTGTTCTCTTTTTGTTTACTTTTACTTTCTGTTCCTCTTTGACACAAAGGTAGTTTTTACTGAAGTATAAAATGTCATCACTTGGAAGGGGAGGATAGGAGGAATGTCACTTTGCCATGGAGGGATCAAATTGGCCCTACCCAGACCTACTCCCACTGGCCTGTGAAAATGGACAGTTTGACATGGTGGACTTCACAGAAGGAGGTAATAGCCAGTCCTTACAGCATGTTGACCTTTAGTCTGATCAAGCCTTTGATCATTTACTAGTATTGTTATCACAAGTGCACAAGTGCAAACTTCAGGTTATTCTACAGGTCAGCTGTTCTAGAGCTTCAGTAATTAATTGCATGGGTACCACTAGGTAAAGCTGGAAAGATTGTCAGGACTACAGGAGACTTTAAAAAAATGCTCTAAGAGGTTCTTATCTGAACAGAGTTACTGTAAAAATTAATTAGGAGATGGAGAAAAAGTTAAACCTTTATTTTTCATTGATAACAGTGACATATTAGTGCAAAGTTCAGATGTATATATTGGAGCATAGCCTGTCACTTTAAGACTCTGTTCACTCAAAGAGACCAAGTTCCCAGCCCACTGTACCTCTCTACATTCTTTCCCTCCATCCTCCCTTATCACGCCTGTCCACAGCGCCTCTCCCTGCTCCTTCCCTACATCTCTCCTCTCTGTAACAGACAGTTAAGTCTGTGGCCTCACAGTCCCTCACCCTAAAGCTGCAAGAGAGGCTTATGGTTCTACTGGATACTTAGCACATAGGCTATGTGAAAATGTTACATGAATCAGATCACATGGAATAAGACTTCCTATCTGTCCTCCAAAACACAAGAAAGCCAGGCTATCTCTTTTATTTGGGAAATTTATAAGGAGCCTTGTGCCTTGTTGTGCTCTTCAGTGATAACTGTTGTGATATATATTTTGCTTTGTTAAGGTTAAAACCCTTCTTTTTATTTTAGACAAAAAAGAGGAGATGATGGGAGATATCATTCTGTAAATATGTTTCTCATACTGGTTAATGAATAAAGCACTGTTGGCCAATAGGAAAGCAAGAGAGGAGGGACTAGGAGACAAGGAGGAAAGAGGAAGTAGGAAGAAGGAGTCAACATGGAGAGATTGGGGAGAGCAGAACCGCCGCCCACCCTCTCTCCGGTAAGATAAACCACATGGAAATACTTAGATTAATAGAAATGGGTTAATAATTAAGACAGAGCTAGCCGATAAGAAACAAGTAACTGGCCAACAGAATTATATCTAATACAGCATCTCTCTGTGTTATTTGGGGCAGGTGTGGTGGTGGGACCAGAATAGTAGTGGGGAAAATCCTACTCCTTACCCTCCAGGGTATCTCTCTGTTAGTATAAGCTGTCCCTCTTAGTGAAATGCCTCTTCAGTTTTTAAAGAGAAGCAAGACTCCCATGCCCTCTCTGTGAATGTAGTTCATTTCTGAAGGGTAATTTTACTTCAGTCATCTTCTTAAACCTGCCACTCCATGAATTCTAATAATATGTATATATATTCAGGAATTATTACATCAGGCAAATTAAATATCACTTCACGTACTTATGACATTTTTGTACTGAATCTGTTCTTTTTATGATTTTGATATACATGTATGTTATTACCTAAGTCATTATATTGTTAAAAATATCTCATAATTACTTTTATTGTTTAATTCATATACATAGGTCATTATTTTTCCATTACTCTATAGAATAGTTTGAATAGGGCCCTTGTCTTTGAATAATTTGAGTATAGGTTAATATTAAATAGTATCAAGAAATGACACTAATAAATTGTAATTACATTATTATGTATGATGATGGTATTGTGGTTATATAAAGAAGTTTGGAGATTTATATTGAAGTATTCAGTAGTGGCAAGTTTTTATATGGGGGTATTATTATAAAAGTCAGGAATATTACAAAATGCAGAATTACTGCAAAAGACTTTGGATGCTGTCTTGATTAAGCTCTGTTACAATATTCTATTTGCCTTTATGTATGCCTGCAAATTTCTCATAATAAAGAGCTGAAAATTGTACCGATGTGTTTGTTTCTCTGCCCCCAAAGCAAAATTACCTTCTTCAACCTCCTCACAGATTATTACTTTGTTTTAACAGTAAATATTATTTTAACATAGCTATAATTTAGATATTTATTTTTTCTTCCTTGCTGCCTATTTGTAAAAAAAAAAAAAAAAAAAAAAAAAAAAACTTGGATTTTTCTTCCTTACTGCCTATTTGAAAAAAAAAAAGAGGTCTGGATTTTTCACATGTGAAAATGTTCATATTTTCATCTGTTTAATAGCAACTTTTATAGACTCAGAATTTGATGTTCTTTAGTTGTTTAGTCTGGTATTTAGTCTATTTAGTATTTAGTTTGACATGGAAATCTCTTGAGGAAATATGCCTTCCCTTTAACCTTTATGACACTCTCACATAGTTTGAGTTGGCTTCCTGGAAAGTCTGCACAAATAGCATGTTATGGATGCCAACATATGAGACCCTGAAGTGAGGAAGCCACACCTCTGAGCACTGAGGCGCAGTCTGGAGAGAGTCTACTTGTTCTCCTGGCTTTGTCTGCAGTGAGGTTCTGGCTATAAGAAATAATGCTGCTATGAACACAGTTGAGCAAACATCCTTGTGATATGATTGTACATCCTTTGGGTATATGGTCAAGAGTGGTATTGCTGGGTCTTGAGGTAGATTGATTCCCAATTTTCTGAGAAACTGTCATAATCATTTTGAAAGTGGCTGTACAAGTTTGTACTCTCACCATCAGTGGAGGAGTGTTCCCCTTACTCCATATCCTCTCCAGCATAAACTGTCATCAGTGTTTTTATTAGCCATTTTGATAGGTGTAAGATGGTATCTCAGAAACGTTTGGGTATGCATTTCCCTGATGGCTACTGATGTTGAGCAATTCCTTAAGTGTCTTTCAGTGCTTTGAGTTTCTTCTGTTGAAAATTCTGTTTAGATCTCAACATTTTATTTGGGTTACTTGGTATTTTGGTGTCTAGTTTCTTGAGTTATTTATATATTTTTGAGATTAGCCGTCTGTGAGATGTGGGGTCTGTAAAGATCTTTTCCCATTCTGTAGGCTGACATTTTGTCTTATTGACCATATCCTTTACCTTACAGAAGCTTCTCAGTTTCAAGAGGTCCTATTTATTGATTGATTGTTGCTCTCAATGTTTGTGTTACTAGTGTTTTATTTAGGAAGAGTTCTTCTGTGCCAATGTGTTCAAGGCTACTTCCCATTTTTTCTTCTTTCAGGTTCAGTGTAGCTGGATTCATGTTGAGGTCTTTGATCCATGTGGCCTTGAGTTTTGTGCATGGTGATAGATACAGATCTTTTTGCATTCTTCTACAAGTTGACATGTAGTTATGCCAGTACATTTGTTGAAGATGCTTTCTTTTTCTTCCACTGTAAAATTTGGCTTCTTTTTAAAAAACCAGGTGTTCATAGGTGTGTGGATTAATTTCGGTAATTTCAATTCTATTCCATTGAATTACATGTCTGTTTTTATTCCAATGCCAAGCTGTTTTTATTACTATAGCTCTATAATAGAGCTTGAAGTCAGGGATGGTGATTCCTCTGGAAATTTCTTTATTATACAGAATTGTTTTTTTCATATGAAGTTGAGGTTCTTTTGAGGTCTGTGGAGAACTGCGTTGAGATTTTTATGGGGATTGCATTGAATCTGTAGATTTATTTTAGTAAGGTTGTCATTTTTTTACTATGTTGATCCTACCTGTCCAAGAGCATGGGAGATCTTTCCATTTTAGGACATCTTCAATTTATTTCTTCAAAGACTT